GGTGTTACCCAGCGTGTGTTTCCCATCTCTTTACATTCAGTCTATTCGTGTTGTTATGTAAAAGTGGGCTCATGTAGACAGCATATAGTTGGGTCCTGATATTGTTTAAAAATCTACTCTGCGCCGGCGCCGCGGCTCACTAGGCTAATCCTCCACCTGTGGCACCGGCATGCCGGGTTCTAGTCCTGGTCGGGGCACCGGATTCTGTCCAGCTCCTCTTCTTGTCCAGCTCTCTGCTGTGGCCCGGGAAGGCAGTGGAGGATGGCCCAAGTCCTTGGGCCCTGCACCCGCATGAGAGACCAGGAGAAGCACCTGGCTCCTGGCTTCGGGTCAGCATGGTATGCCGGCCGCAGCGGCCATTGAGGGGTGAACCAACGGAAAAAGGAAGACCTTCCTCTCTGTCTCTCACTGTCCACTCTGCCTGTCAAAAAAAAGTTTAAAAAAATCTACTCTGATAATCTCTGTGTCTTAATGGGTAAGGTTGAAAGAGATTCTTAATCTAGTAGGATCAAGGTCTATGATATCTATGACTGCTTCCCATCCATTGCTGCTGATATCTGTTTATTTTATTTTTTTGTATTATCCCATTTCTATTTCTCCCTGAGCACATGAATTGTGTCTTTTGGTGTTGCTTTTTTAAGTGATCACCTGGAGAGTTTACAGTGCACATTTTCAGTAATCCACAGAGAAGACGTTTCCAGTAACACTACTATGAGCAGTGCAGGTGCCTTAAGTCAGAGCTCCTCACCCCTCCCTTCCGTGCCTTCTTGTCACCGCTGTCATTCATGTCACCACCCACGAGCTACTGAAAGTGTCACTGCTATTACTATTTTGAGCACAATGCTATCTGGCAGATTAAGAATTAAAAAACCTATTAATTTTCCCTTTGTTTCCTCTTTGGTACTCATCCTTTATGTAGATCTGGGTTTCTGACAATGTTATTTCCCCCCCTTTTTTTTTCTGAATAACTTATTGTAGCAAACCTTGTAAGGCGGGTTTTTGTTTGAGAAAGTCATTATTTCTCCTTCATTTACAAAAATATTTATTATTTGGGAGGCAGAGAGATTAACAGAGCGAGAGAGCTCCTATCTGCTGGTTCACTCCCCAAAAGCCCAAACTGACCAGGGTCTGGGCCAGACCCAGACAATGGCCCAGGCAGAAGCCAGGAGCCTAGAACTCAATCCAGGCCTCCCACACATGGGTGGCAGGGACACAAGTACTTGGACCATGCACCTGCTCTCCACCAGAGTGTGCATTAGCAAGAAGCTGGAATTGGGAACAGAGCCATGACTCAAACCCAGGCACTCAGATGTGGGGTGTGGGGGTCCCTTGACTGCTAGCCTAAATGCCTTCCCCTTTCTCTTTAACACAAACAACAAACAAATTTATTTATCTATCTGAAAGGTAGCCAGAGACAGAGAGAGATTACCCATCTGCTGGTTTATTCCACGAATGTCTACAGTGGCCAGAGCTGAGCCAGCAGGGACCCAACTACTTAAGCCATCACCTGCCCCCTCCTAGGGTGTGCATCAGTAGGGATCTGGAATTGGGACTGAAGTGGGAACTCAAACTCAGGCACTTTGATATGGGATGTGAGTGTCTTAGCCACTGTGCCCAGTTGCCTGCCTCTGTCTGTGATACATTTTCAGTTGATTTGTTGATATGGTGAGAAATGAAGTCTAGTTTCATTTTTCTGCGTGTGGCTATCCAGTGTTCCCAGAACCACCTATTAAGAGACTCTTTTCTTCAACATTCTTGGTGCTTTTGTCAGCATCCAGTTGGCTGTTATGCGAGGATGTATTTCTAGGCTCTACTGAGTTCCCTTTGTCCTTTTCTTTTCTTTTCTTTTCTTTTCTTTTCTTTTCTTTTCTTTTTAATTTTTTGACAGGCAGAGTGGACAGTGAGAGAGAGAGACAGAGAGAAAGGTCTTCCTTTTGCCGTTGGTTCACCCTCCAATGGCCACTGTGGCCAACGCGCTGCGGCCGGCGCATCGTGCTGATCCGATGGCAGGAGCCAGGTACTTATCCTGGTCTCCCATGGGGTGCAGGGCCCAAGCACTTGGGCCATCCTCCACTGCACTCCCTGGCCACAGCAGAGAGCTGGCCTGGAAGAGGGGCAACCGGGACAGAATCTGGCGCCCCGACCTGGACTAGAACCCGGTGTGCCGGCACCGCAAGGTGGAGGATTAGCCTAGTGAGCCTCGGCGCCTGCCTCCCTTTGTCCTTGAGTCTTTTTTTTATGCCAGTATCAAGCTGTTGTGGTTGCTCTATTTTGTAGTCAGGTAGTGTGATGGTTGCAGCTTTGTTCTTTTTGCTCAAGATTGCTTTGGCTATTTGAGGTCTTTTGAGGTTCCACACAAATTTTAGGATTGTTTTCTTGATTTTTGTGACAAATTATCATTGGTATTTTGATAGGGATTATTTTGAACAAGTAGCTTGCTTTGAATCTATGAATATTTTAATAGTATTCATTCTTCCAGTCCATGAACATGGGATACCTATCCGTTTGTGCCCTCTTCAATTTCTCTAATGTTTCATAATTTTCCTTGTAAAGCTCTTTCACCTCCTTGGTTAGATGCATTTTTTAATTTCTGTTGTCAATGGGCTTGCTCTCTTGATTTCTCTGCAGATAACTTACTATTGGTGTATCATAAGACTGCTAGTTTTGTGTGTTGATTTTGTGTCCTGCTACCCTGCTGAGCTTGTCTAATCTGGTTTGTTGTGAAGTCTTGGGTGTGTTCCATGCATATGATCATGTCATCTGCAAACGGATAGTTTAACCTCCGTTCCAATTTGCTTATCTTGTGTTTCTTTCTCGCCTAATTGCTCTGTCTAGGACTTCTATGCTCTGTCAAGTAGAGATAACAAGTACAGGCATCCTTGACTTCCTCCAGATCCTAGGGGAAAAACTTTCAGTTTTCCCCCATTGAGTCTGATGTTAGCTGCGTGCTTGATATATGTGGCATTTATTACGTGGAGGTCCGTTTCTGCTCTTTCTGACTTGTTGAGAGTTTCTGTCATGAAGGGATGTTGAAGTTTGGAAAATGCCTCTTCTGCATCTGTTGAGATGAGTGTATGACTCTGTCCTTTGTTCTGTTCATGTGGTATTGATTGGCGTATGTCGGGCCATCCTCGCATCTGTGGGATGAATCCTGCTGGGTCATGCTGAATGCTCCTCTTCACGGGCTGTGAATTCAGTCGGTTCTTTCGCTGGGATTTCTCCCCAGTCTTTACTGTGGGAACCTAGCAAGGCTCCTGGAGGTAAAGCTCATGACACCATGAGCCCTCCCGGGCTTGGTCCTCCCCACCCCATCCCCACCCACATCCCCAGTGTCGGCTCTCAGCCTTGTGCACACCCAGCCTCCAGCAGCTCATCCGTCAGACTTCAAGCTTGGCTGCCCTGGCACTGGCCGGTGGAGGGCTCTGCTCATGCGCTCCTGCTCTGGCGAGATGTGCACCTCCACCTGGCTCGCTCCCCAGCTGGGAGCAGCACTTTGCTCCATGGTGTCTCAATTCTCTGACGAATCTAAGAGGAGTTGTTCATTTGCTGTTGGTTCAGCTTTCAGCTTGTGAGGCCAAGACTGGTGACTTCCAACCCCCTTATGGGCTGGACCGGAAACCAGAAGTCCTCTATGTTATTCAGTTTTTCCTTTTTGGAAGCTGTGACACAGGCTCCAACGTGCTGAATAGTCCATCCTTCTCTTGCCGGTGTGAAATGCCAATGTGATCATATGAAGCACTCCTCTCTTTCTCTCTGGTTTTCCCTTTGTTTGGAAAGTTCACGGAGAATTACAAGTTTAATTTGGTGGAACAGATTTGAAATCCATGAATAATTTTTGTCATAAAACATATCCCCCCTGAACTGTGTGAAGTGCTCTCATACATGCGAACATGCACGTCCGTGTGTGTGTGGTTAAGAAAGTGCCAGTCTTCTACGTGCAGAATCCTAAACAGGTTATCAGCTCATGAAATCTATCACTGCCATCGCTGTTTGTTAAAAGTAGCTTGTGACTGAGTGTGTGTATGCTAAGAAGGCAAGGATAATTCAGTACAGAGTCGCTATTCATGAGCTTTGTGAAGTTAATGGAGATCTCTTTCGATGAGCTAAAACTCATAGAACCTGCTAAGGCTGAATGTCTTCATTCCTGTGACCTGGGAAAGATGCCCCCAGCTCACAACCACACAGATGCATGCGCACAGGCACGGTGAGAACCTTGAGTGAGGACCTCTGCAGCATCTCTATTTGTGGTAGCCTCAAACTGGAACCCACCCCACCGCCCATCAGCAGTGCAATGGGGGAAATGAACTGTGGCACATGCACATGGTAGACGAAGAATGTGGTACGGCCAGGCACAGCCACAAGGCTACTATTGGGGAGATCCACAGATACAATGTAGAGTTGCTTCACTATCAAAGGAATGTGTTCGTGTGTGTGTGTGTGTGTGTGTGTGTGTGTGAGAGACATGCTTTCTGTGTCCTGCTGCACTTCATGGGGCAGAGTGGCCATGACAGGCTTGGCCAAGCCCCTGGCTACCTCCGTCTTCATCCTTGGCAGTGTTTGCCCAAGCCCCTGCCCTATTGAGGCTGAGGACGACGGCCCCTTCAGCTGAAGCCTCCCACACCCAGCCCCGGGGCCCCACCCTGGTTCCTCTTGTAGCTCCCTCGCTCTGTGGCACGTGGCATCTTTCTCACTAAAATATGAGGAAGCCGAGGCTTGATGTGAGCTGACTGAAGCCACAGAACTCCAGTTCTAGACCTGCTCAGGTACACCTCCAGGCTTCCATGCCCAGCGTTCCATCTCTTTGGGGGGCTTTCAAATAGGACTCTCTCTCAGACTCACCTGCCATGGATCTGAGAGCCCACTGTCCCCGTGGGCACCAGGCGGACACCTCTTCCGGTGCCATCCCCAATGGCGGTCTCCCTGGCAGGTGCCATGTCTTGAGCCAGGGCTGGTTCCCCAGAGCCCGCCTCACTGATGCTGAGGCCTGATTCCTTGCCCAGGGCCTCCCGACACCTGCTGCCATGAAGATCGCCGTGATTGGGCAGAGCCTGTTTGGCCAGGAGGTGTACTGCCACCTGCGGAAGGATGGCCACGAGGTGGTGGGCGTGTTCACCGTCCCCGACAAGGACGGCAAGGCCGACCCCCTGGGTGAGTGCGTGGCCCGGCTGTGGGACAGAGGGGGACGGGGACCTGTCCAGGCAGAGGGGCGGCAGTGGGCACAGGGGCAGGAGCAGAAGTCTGCAGGGTCTTGGCGGGGAGGCCTAGCTGAATCCTGCTGGGGGCCACTGGCTGATGGAGGTCCCCACACATACCCCTGCATGTGGGGTGGGCCTTGTGTCCGGGGTAAGTGCCACGGAGAAGCCCAGCCTGGCCCCAGGCCCTGCCCCAGCTTCTCAGAGCCTCACCCGTGTTCTGCAGGGGCTCCCAGCGCTGCGGTCAGTGCGGTCGCTGTCCCCGATGATGCCCGAGGCCAGCTCTGCTTGGGGGAGGGGCTGTTAAAGGCTCCCCGGGAAGCTTGTGACTCAGTAGAGTGGGGTGGGGCCTGATTCCGTTCTGGCATGTTCCTGGGTGACACGGTGCCCTCTGGTTCTAGAAGGAGCCTAGTTAGAGAATCACGGGGCTGGGCCATTGCCTTCAGCTGGGAATTTCAGTGCAGCAGGGGCCTCAGCCTGGCTGAGCAGAGCCGCCCAGGACCTGGTGGAGGTGGACTGAGGGGCGGGGCTTCAGCACAGAAGGCCAGGATTAGGAAAGGGGGCCTGTGGCACTGGCCAGGTGCAGGAACGTGGCTTGTGTGGGAGCAGGAAGCCCACAGTATGACCCTTGGGTTCAATGGCCCCAACGCCAACCCAGGCCTCAGCCTCAGATCTGTGTATGATGTGACCCATGACATACCCTGACCCCAGCTCAGCGCGAGCCCTGCACCCACTGAGTGCCCACTGTTACCCATGCTGATTCAGAACCCAGGCCACGCCCCACTGGGACTACCACTTGCCCTTGGCCTCAGAAGTCCTGCAGGAGTATTGCATTGGCCACAGTGGGACAGCTTTGACATACAGAGTGCCATCTGCTGGCATCCCAGCCCACTCCCACACCAAGATGCAGTGGCAGAGAGGGGGGCCACAGAGGGGGATCAGTCCCTCCAGGGCAGAGGTCACAGCACGTGTGCTGCTGAGAAGTGATTACAGAGCAGCACTCACTGGGTATTGAAGAACGGAGTGGAAAAGGGGGCTGGAACATCCGGAGGTGGTGACCGAGCGAGACAGCAGCCCCTACGGAGGCTGAGGGTGGGGAAACAAGGCGGAACTGCTGAGCCCAAGGAAGCTGGGCAGACTGATTCAGAGCTGTGGGTTCACGCTGGTGCAGGAGGAGGGGCCCTCCAGGCTGGAGTGGCCCCTGGGATGCACAGGCTGGTGTGTGCATGCATGTATGTATATGTACACACACGCATGTGCTTGCATGTTTGTTCACACATGTGTGTGCACACGTGTGTGCTTGCATGCACACATTGAGGTTTATTCTGCAGAAGGTGGGAAAGCGGGTTCAGCCACTGCCCTGGGAAGGAACCACAGCAGCTGGGGCAGAGAGTGGAGGCCCGGGGGCTACTCCAGGGACAGGAACCCTAAAGAAAGGACCAAGCCCCCTTCCCCCTAAAGAAAGGACCAAGCCCCCTTCCTCCTTCCTCCCCGACCTCCTCCCTCCAGCCTTCCCATCTGCCTCTACTCAGGGGATGGCAGACAAAGCAGACATGCAAGTTACACAGAGAGCCATGGGAGGATGGTGTGACAGTCCTGTTGTGGGGACGTGGCTGGGCCTTGGGGGACAGCTTGGGTGATGTGTACAGCCACCTGGGGCCACGGAGGGGCCAGAAAGAGGGAGACAGGTAAGGGTCTTGGGGGGCAGCAGGAGGCAGTGTCCCAGCAGGGCAGTCCCCAAATCTTCCCCCCTTGTTTAGAGCCGCCCCAGGTCGGGGAGGGCGTCTCTGATGGGTGCATGGCTGAGTGGGGCCATTGCTTCCCCACTGCCCCGCAGGCCTGGAGGCGGAGAAGGACGGCGTGCCTGTGTTCAAGTTCCCCCGGTGGCGGGCGCGAGGACAGGTTCTGCCGGAGGTGGTGGCCAAGTACCAGGCGCTGGGTGCTGAGCTCAACGTGCTGCCCTTCTGCAGCCAGTTCATCCCCATGGAGATCATCAATGCCCCCCGACATGGCTCCATCATCTACCACCCCTCCCTGCTCCCCAGGCACCGTGGGGCCTCGGCCATCAACTGGTGAGAAGGGGCCAGGGCTTGGGGGTCCATGCCCTCCTATCCCATTCCACCTGCCTCCCTCCCTCGGCTGGAGATTCCCTCTAGGGCCGTGCACCTGCCTGTCCCCTGCTGCTGGTGTTGCCCAGAACCGGGTGGGTGGGACACCATCTGTAAGACAGGGTGCCCTGCGGTACCGGGGACAGGCGCCGCCGTGGGCTGTGCACTCCTGCGGTGAACAGGTAAACAGGCTCCCACCTGGTGGCTGCCACAGAGGGCGCCCAGGGGGCTGGGGGAGGAGGAACATCCTCTGAGCTCACCGCCACCACTCCTGTCACTCTCGCTGCTTAAGACCTGGGAGGGGACAGAGGTGCAGGAAGGGCTCAGCTGGACGCTGTAGCTGCTGGCGATAGGAAGCACTAGCAGGGTGATGTCTCAGACAGCAGATAAGATGCCTGGGCCAAGAGGAGCGTGCAGATTGGCAGTCAGGCCAGTCTGCCCGGGGCTCAGGCTGCCTGGTGACATCACCCTGTTCCTCTGGGCCTCAGTTTCCTTCCCTGTGAAATGGGCGCACCATGTTCGTTGCACCTGCTGTGAGGATTAAGGGGCACAGGCATCTGTGGCTCACAACGCAATGCCTGACATGGACCTGGTGTCTGTCCACGCCGCATTCCTTCTCCTTTCCCTTCCTGCGGGAGCATGCATCAGGCCTTCCTGGAGGAGGCGGCATCCTGTGGGGCTGCCCCTGTCCTCTGGGAGCCCTCCCTCTCGACCCCAGAGTTTGGCTCTTCTGCTTCCCAGGACCCTCATTCATGGGGACAAGAAAGGGGGCTTCACCATCTTCTGGGCGGACGACGGTCTGGACACGGGGGACCTGCTGTTGCAGAGGGAGTGTGAGGTGCTCCCAGACGACACCGTGAGCACCTTGTACAACCGCTTCCTCTTCCCCGAAGGCATCAAGGGCATGGTAAGGTCTCCCCCGGCCCCCGGGGCCAGCGCTGTGCCCAGGCGCCCTCGCGCCCAGCTTGCCACCCCAAGAGGCAGGTGCTTCTCCTGAGCCGGTCGGGCCCCATTTCCCAGGACTGGGAGAGCCAGCGCTATCACGGGCGTGTCAAAGAGGCAGGATGGGCACACAGGGTGTGTTAGGAGGGACCCTGATCACAGCCCACAGAATCCTATTCAGAAGGCCTTAGCTGCAAAGGGGACATTTGGGGTCCATTTAATGGACAGACTATAGGGAGAATAGTATCAGTCGTAGCTGAGTGTAGGAGTTTAACTTAGGTCATGCGAAATAGGATATTTTATTTCTCTAAACATGGGATTTATTTCTCTGAAAGGCAGAGCTACAGAGGCAGAGGGAAAAATAGAGAGAGCGAGGTCTTCCATCCACTGGTTCACTCCCCAAATGGCCACAATGGCTGAGGCTGGGCCAGGTTGAAGTCAGGAGCCTGGAGCCCCATCCGGATCTCTCACATGGGTGGCAGGGGCCCAAGGAGCTGGATGAGAACTAGAGCACCCAGGACTGGAGCTGGCGCTCACGCAGGACGCTGGCATCGCAGGCAGTGACTTAACCTGCTGCGCCGCATCTCGGCTTCCTAGTTCCCTGTCTTAACCCTTGGGTTCTGCTTTTCTCTGTTTGATTGTTCTCAAGCCGGCTGCTCTGAGCGGGAGAAAAGGCGGTCACTGGTGGCCCAAAGCCTCAAGGGAAGAGAAACCCTCCCTTAGAAATTGTGAATGAAAAATCAGGGAAATCACTGATTGGCTGCCTCCGTCACGTGCTTCTTTCTGTGGCTGCTGAGGAAGGGGATTGGCTGATCTGAAGCTGGGGGCGGGGCTTCTGAAGGACAAGGGGGAGGATGCTGGGACCATGCACTTGGTGAAGCTTCAGGCCTGCTGGGGCCCGGCTGTGCAGTGACAGCAGAGTTATGTGTCTGGGCAGGAGTACGGGCTCCCTGGCTGGGCAGATAGACTGCCCAGTGACAGCCAGTGGCAGGTGATGCCATAGGATAGGATGAAGTTTCCAGGAGACATTTGCTCTCTGCACGAGACAGCTTGGCTCTCCCATACAAACGCTCACGGCAGTCCCAGCGTCCACCGGCCCCTTGCCCTCGGCTCCTGTTTCACACCCCCTGCCCTTTATTGCTCGGGTTGTGTATTTTCGTATTTGCCCCGTGAAGTGGCCTGCCCACGGGGCCAGTGAGCAGAGCAGCCTCGCCGGAGACTGCGTGTGAGAGACGGGGAGGGGGAGACGCACGTATCCCGCTGCAAACAGCCTGAACACCTGGCACAGCTGTGCAGACAAGGCTGTGGAGCCTCAGGCAAACGAACCCTAACTTAGAATCTGCTTGCCCGGTTACGTGAACTGCAACCTCAGCAGGTGTGCAAGCGTGGGTCGTGTCCGCCATCACTGCACATCCTGCCAGGCGCACCTGTCTGACCCGTCCCTTCCCAGGCTGGGCACCTCCGAGTCTCCTCCCTGAGACCCCCCTCCAGGTGGGCCCAGGGTCCTCGCCTCTCCTCCTCTGATTCCTTCTGCCACCATCCTCCTTTCAGAGACGCTCCCTCCTGCCCCATCTCCAAGCTCCAAACCTGCACCCTGGGGCTCAGGATCCATTCTCCGACGAGCGAAGCAGGTACCAGGCAGTGCAGTGCAAACCCGCACGCATGTTGTAGGAGGCTTTAGGGTGTCTGGACATTAAGTTCTCAGGAAATGCAAGGTCATGTCCGTGCTCTAAAACCATGTGGGTTTGTGACCCCCGCACAGGAACCAGGGCACATATTTCTCAGGTGCCATGGTGTACCAGCAGCTGGGGGTCAGGGAGGGTCGTGCTGCTGGGAACACCCACCACCAGGCTCTCTGCAGGTGCAGGCCGTGAGGTTGATCGCTGAGGGCAAGGCCCCCCGCCTGCCTCAGCCCGAGGAAGGAGCCACCTACGAGGGGATTCAGAAGAAGGAAACTGCCCAGGTGAGTTCTGTCCCCTGACCTGAAGCCCCCGTGCCTGGGCTGGGGTGCAGAGGGCAGCCTGGGGAAGCTGGGGGATGTCATTGTCTCAGGCAAGACAAGAGGACAGCCCCATCCAGAGACACGTGAGCAGAGGGAGGGGGCATGTGGCACCCCAAAGGGCAGGGAGCTGAGTCTTTCTGGGCTCTTCCTTGTTCCTCTTTAGGACGCATGGGCAGGCTGAGTCCCCAGGGAGGGAGAAGCCAGGCACTGAGAACTTTATCCAGGTCTCCCATGCGGGTGCAGGGGCCCAAGCACTTGAGCCATCCTCTACTGCTTTCCCAGGTGCATTAGCTGGGAGCTGGCTCAGAAGTGGAGCAGCTGGGACTTAAACCGGCGCTCATATGGGATGCGGTGGCTTCACCCCCGCGGGGTCACAGCGCCAGCCCCAAGGGCCTCCACCTGTGGACAGCACCAGAGTTGTCTTCCCCAAGCCATTCTGGAGCGTGCTCAGCCCATTGGAGGCTGGGACCAGAGAGCGCCCAGAACCCACTGCGGCACCAGCTCCAGGACTCAGACCCACGTGCCAGCGAAGCCAGGGCTCCCCATGCCCTCAGCAGGGCCCAGTCCACTGTCCCGGGAGGAGTCGAGGAGATGGGGAGGGGGCTGGGGGCAGCCCTGCCGAGCCCACCTACTCTGCTCCCCACAGATCAACTGGGACCAGCCAGCAGAGGCCATTCACAACTGGATCCGAGGGAATGACAAAGTGCCAGGAGCCTGGACAGAGGCCTGTGGACAGGTGCGTTCCTGCATGGCCGGCGTTCGGCCCCGTGCGCTGGCATGCTGTGCTCGCTGTAAAACCATCTCGTGTGCTTGCTTGATAAATAGCCGCTGCCCTAACATCACCTCCCGCCCACGTGCCCCTTAAGTCCTCAGCCCCTCCCCCAGGATGAAGAGACCTGTCATCCCCCCAGCAGTTAAGAGTGGGTATCCAGCCTAGCAGGAAGCCTCCAGGCCCCTACAGCAACTCAGGGTCCAGCTGTACTGACTGTAAAATATTCCGAGTCTCAGCTTGGGGCTCATAAAGACCTCTGCCCTGATTGGATCTGGCCCCAGGCAGGGGAGGGGCAGCAATAGGCCAGGTGCTGAAAGTAGGGGGCGGAGCTGGGGCTCGCAGGCTCCTGCAGGTTTGTCCAAACCTTAGGTCAGCCTTGTCCTCCGCACAGCCCTGGACTGGCCAGGTCCCTGCCCCCCAGCCCGCTAGCTGGATGGTGCATGGAAGTCTGTGCTGCTCTCACTGACCGACGTGAGCACATCCTCACCCGAGTGGCCGGGGCACGGTGGCCTCCCCAGGGTCCTGCCTGGACACATCCCCAGTGTCTGAGGCTGTGGGCCAGCGTGAAGGGTCTTTGGGCCCCTCTGCATGGCTCTGCCAGGCTGCTGGGAGCCAGGAAGCGGGAGACATGGGGGCCACAGGCTCCTTATCAAAACTTCGTGATTTTGTCCTGAGCTCCTTCCTGTAATCTGGTCCAGTCCGATCGCTTCCCGGAGGCCCCACCCTAATGCATCAAGCATTCGCACTTGTCCGTTAACCATCAACAGAGAACTCTGGGTTTAAGTGTGTGCAGTGTTCCATGCATTCCAGGGCCACTTCTCACTCCTGTTCTCTGATCCCCTCCACCCTTGCCAGAAGCTGACGTTTTTCAACTCAACCCTGACCGTCCCAGGCTCAGTGCCTGAGGGAGACCCTTTGCCCATCCCAGGAGCCCATCGGCCAGGGCTGGTCACCAAAGCGGGGCTCATCCTCTTCGGCAATGATGACAAAATGGTAAGGGTGCTGCCGTGGGTCACTGCTGCACCGTCCACTCAAGGCCACCACCTTCCTTACCGCCCCCCACCCCCCAGCCCCAGCTCAAGTCCTGCAGGAAGACCCCAGGATAGTCTGGAAAGAAAAAAAAGGAAAAAAATGAGACCCAGGGGACCAACCCCAGGCTAGCCCCTGACCACCAGCTTGGCCCTGAGCGCCTCTCCATCCTGGGAAGGCAGGCGCTCCGTCCCCCTGCCTTAAGCCCGGAGACCCCAGTGGTGTCAGACAACCTGGAATCAGGGTGACGGCAGAGCAACAAAAAGAGAGAGACAGAGATCATCCATCTGGGGGTTCACTCCCCAAATGCCCACCAAGGCCAGGGCTGGGTCAGGCCAAAATCAGGCTCCTGGAACTCCATCTGGTCTCCCGCCTGGGTGGCAGGGACCCAAGTACTTGAGCCATCACCTGCTGCTTCCCAGGATCACATTAGCAGGAAGCTGGACTGGAAGTGGGGTAGCGGGGACACAGATATGGGATGCGGGCACCCCAGGTGGTGGCTTAACTCACTGTGCCTCAGCACCCGCCCCACCGGGCACTGGTTTAGAACAGTTTATGTGCTTTACATTTAATATTCTTTTTTCAATGATTTATGTATTTTATTTGAAAGGCAGAGTTACAGAGAGGGAGGGAGGGACATGGAGAGAGAGAGAGATCTCTCTGCTGGTTCACTCCCTAAATGGCCACAATGGTCGGAGCTGGGCCAGACTGAAGCCGGGAGCCAGGAGCTTCCTTTGGGTCACCCATGATGGGGTAGGGGCCTAAGCACTCAGGCCATCCTCCATTGCTTTCTCAGGCACATTAACAGGGAGCTGGATCGGAAGTGGAGCAGCCAGGACTTGAACCGGTGCCCATATAGGATGCTGATGCTGCAGGTGGCAGCTTAACCCACTCTGCCACAGTGCCAGCCCCTAAACTTAATATTCTTATAAGTATTAATATGGTAACTGTGCTACAGAGGAGAAAACTGAAGTGCACAGATTTGAATTCCTTGCCCAAGGTCCCCCAAGCTCATCATCGGTGGCAGAGCTGAGACTGACACCCTACAGTTCTGACCTGAGGGCCACTCCCTGGCCACGTCAGCCACTGTCAGTACCCCGTGACGTCTCAGCCAAGACAACAGGGCAGGGAGAGAAAGGTAGCAGGCAGAACGGCTCCCAGCACTCTGTGGAGTTGGGTTGGCGGCCATGTTGGTGTACAGAGGCCAGGGTTGAGTGCGGGGTGGCCGTGCAAGCATGTTTGCTTACTCCTAACGCACAGTTCACCCAGTGTGTTCAACCCGGTGACGCCGCGGCAGACCTAAGAAGTTTCCAGAGCCCCATTCTGCCACCACTGCCGTTCCTAAGGCCCGGTCTGTGGGAGGTGCTGGCTTCTGCCTCCCACCCTCTGCTCTGTGCTCCGTGTCCCAGACACACACGTTCCTGCAGGGTTTCTAGGAGCTATTGGGTGGCCGGGCAACCAGCTTTCTTAATTAACTTTCCGTGCGGCACTTCGGCTAGGTTTTCCTGAACATCAGACCCCGTTTCTATGGAAACAGGAAAGCCACTTCACTAAGGAGGAAGTGAGAGTGTGGCAGTGGCGGGAGTCACTGAGGACCAAGGGGGAGGCACGAGCTCGGCAGGAGCCTCTGCGCCCCGGGAACAGCCGCCTCCCTGCACTGAACCCCTCTCCTTGTCATAGGTCTGGGGCCCCCCTGCTCCCTCCTGATCCTGAGCTTTGGGGCCCAGCGTAGGAACCCCGCCCCCGCCCCGCCCCCGGCCCCATGGGATCCCTCTCAGCCCTGCCTGGGTCTGAACCGCTTCCCCCCGCAGCTGCTGGTGAAAAACATCCAGCTGGAAGACGGGAAGATGATCCCAGCTGCCCAGTTCTTCAAGGGCGCGGCCAGCAGCGCCCTGGAGCTGACCGAGGAGGAGCTGGCCACCGCAGAGGCCGTGCGGGTGAGGGGCGGCTTCGGGGCTGCTGTACAGCTGGGCGGGTTGGACACTGTGTGTGTGCTTTGTGTGAATCCCACTGGTGTCGTGGAGCGTCCTGATGTCCCCGGGCCCCTCTCTCCTTGGCACCTGGGGCCTTGCGATCAGATCTGTCTGGAGTGACTCTTCCAGGCACTGTCAGCATTAAGCAGACCAAGCAGGAGGCCCTGGGGTGTCTGAAGGTCAGGGCCAAGACCATGACCCTCTGGTGAGAACATGTGCACAGGGACTCCCCAGAATGGCTGCCCAAAGGGGGCATCCTGGGCCCTGACCACCAGGGACTCCTGGTCAGGTAGACGTGGCTCCAGTCCAGCTGTGCCCCCCAGTGTCGCTCCCCCTCTTCGTGGAGGAACGACACAGGACCCTGCGCTGTTCTTTTGTCTGCTTGGCCCTTCCCGGGTTTGCTGCTGGTTCTTCCCGGGTTGGCTACCGACCCTTCCACCTCCGTGGAAGGGCGGTTCCCCCTGCCACTTTCCCCACTTCCGCGGGGGAGCGGCATACCGCCGGCCGGCTCTCTCGGGGGCTGCACAGGTGTTCCTTCAGATAGCTGTTCCCCTTAGATGTTCCTGGTGCATGTTGTCTCTCTCCTCCTTTATAGTCCTCTTCCACCAATCCCAACTCGGCTGCCCACATGCCGAGTACGCTGCTCTCCTCCAATCAGGAGCAGGTCCTGCTGTTTATTGGTTGAACTGGAGGCAGCTGTGTAGAAGCTGTTTTCTCCTCTCCCAGCGCCATATTGCGGGAGAGCAGATGCATAGAATAAGTCTTAATTCCAGTAACTTAGTCTAGTCCAAGTTGCTCCCAGTTGCTCCCCACACCCCAGGCTGCTGCAGGGTGCTCCCTCCTCTGATACTCAGTCCCTACAACCTGCACAAGGATCAGTGGCCACTTTCCAGAAATTGTTCCTGGCCCCTTCCTTCTTCCTCATCCTTTCCCCTCCCTCCGGGCAGTGGTGCGTGAATACTGAACGTTATGGATGCTGGTGGGTCAATCCTCAGCCATTCATTCATTCATGTATTCAACTACAGATACTCCTGAACTTACAATGGGGTCGTGGCCCCGTAAGCCCGACATCAGTTGAAAAACATCCGAAATGCATCTAAGACAACCAGCCGGCTGAATGTCCTGGTTAGCAACACCGCACACTGTAGAGCGTTGGTTGTTCCCTGGGTGATCTCCAGGCTGCCTGGGTTCTGTGGCTGCTGCTGCCACCAGCATCTTAATATAACTTCCCCTTGCCTATTGCTGGCTGGCAAAAGCTCCACGTTCAGTGTACGGCTTCTACCAACAAGTGGCTCTCCCCTTGGCACTGTGGTCAAGTCAAGTGGAGCATCGGACATCAAGGCCACCTGTAACTTGCTAGAATCATAATAGCTGGGCCCCGCCAATGGCAGGCGCGGAGACTGTAACATGGAGCTTGCATGCCTTTGTCGTGGGGCCGAGAGCCGACATACAGCAAAGCAGGTGAACACAGCACTTTCGGGCAGTGCCATAAGTCAAATAACACGGTGGTGGCAAGGAGGTCCCTGAGGCTGGGGGACAGGGAAGGGGACCTTGGAGCTGAGGCTTGAGTCGGGAGAAAGGACCAGGGAAGGTTACCAGGACAGGGGAACAGCAGGTGCCAAGGCCCTGAGAAGCCAGGGACCTCTTGTATTTAAGGAACCACTGCAGGCCGGAGCGGGGCTGCTGTGGCTGGAGCCCAAAGCAGGGGGCTGCGCTGGAGGGAGCGGCCCACAGCTGGGAACTGCCTGCAGGGGGCGCTGTGTGCTTTCCAGGGGCACAGAGAGCTAGCAGCTGCCTCGTTGGAAATCTGAACTGTGACTTTCTGTTAGAAAAAAAAAAAGGCTCTTCCGTCCCCAAATATTCCTGAAGCACTTGCTCTGTGCCTGCCCTGGGGTTTCAGTGGCATGGTGACGCTGGAGATGGGGGTTGGGGGTTGAAACTTGTCACCTGTTGGAGGAGCTAGGGCTGACTCCAAAGATTCTGACCTAAAACCGCGGCAGCTGAGCCGCGGGTCCGTCGCGTGGAGGACAAAGCCGGCCCCGGGGACACTGGTCACACAGTGTCTACACTGCAGGTGTCACAGGGCATCGGGGGATGCCATGAAGCCTGTGGGAGGTTGTGTGCAGGCTCCGTGCACAGCCCACACCCCTCTGTAGAAGGGACTTGTGCATCTGTGTATCTGGGTGTCTGCGGAGGGCCCTGGAACCCCTTCCCTGCTGGTTTGGGGGGATGGCTGTGCTTCCAGGGTGCGCACATGTGCGCAGAGGCCCAGGCCTGGCCAGGAGCCTGTCCAGAAAGCAGCTGTCCCATTGTAGCCCACTGGATGGGTGCTGCCCACTCAGCGTGCACCGCCCTCTGCACGCTCCCCTCCCAGCTGCCTGGGGCACTGCTCAGCCTCAGAAGCAACAGGTCACAGGGGCACAGCAGCTGGGAAGGACAAGTCCCAGGTCCCAGCGTCCATCCGTGTGCCCCACGCTCCTGCAACTCCCATGTGTCTGGGTCCTGCTGGGGACACAGAAACCCAGAGACCCGATGTGACGTGGGTTCAGGAGCAGCGAGGCCCTGCTTTCCTTGTCCTCGGCCATCACCCCACCTCCTGGACTGCCCTGGGGACCCCGGAGAAGCAGGGGGTGGAGGCGAGGTGGGCCTCGGACAGAGTGAGCTGGAGAAGGGGCAGCACCTTGGAGGGGGTGGGCCGGGGGGGAGCTCTGCCTGGCTCTGGGCCCCCACCGCGGACACCTGCAGGTGGCCAGCCCTCCCCCCCACAGCCAGCCGCTCACGGGGCCTTGTTTCGCAGAGCACCTGGCAGCGGATCCTCCCCAACATCCCAGAGGTGGAGGACACCACCGATTTCTTCAAGTCGGGAGCTGCATCGGTGGACGTCGTGCGGTAAGGCCCGGGGGTGCAGGGGCCCCCTCTCTATCGCTGAGCCATGGCTGCAGGTCTCAGTGGACAGACCCCACATCATGCAGCGGCTGGATCATCTGGGCGGGCATACCCACCCGCACGCTGTCGTCTCTGCCCCAGGAGGGCTTGCCCAGCCGGCACTGCAGGCTTAGCACCTGCTCATGGCCACCCCGGCGTGGACTTCACGGAAGTGCGGCAGACGTGACAGCCTGGAGAGCTGGGTGTGGGGAAGACGAGAGACAGAGAGGCGTATGGGAACCATGACTGTAGTGTGCAATTTGAAGTGTGAGTTATGTACAGTGAAATGCACAGATCTCAAGTGAGTGGTCTGGGCAGTTTGATTCGTGTCGCCCAGTCCTCTGTCAAGCCACAGGCAGCAGCAGCAGCCCCGAAGTCTGTCTTCCTGTTGTTCCCCAGGCGACAGGGACTGGCTGGCCTGCCCTTGACCTTCATAGGACGGGTCCCGCTTGTCATTCAGCAGTGAGGAGTTGTCACCCGTACAAAGAAGGGGTGTAGGACGCACCAGTGCACCTTGGCTTGCCAGTGATGATGACTTCCTACTGATCGGCTTAAACGAGAGAGAGAGAAAGAGAGAGAGAGAGAGAGAGAGAGAGAGAGAGAGAGAGAGAGAGAGAGAAGGGAGGGAGTAAAAACCCCACGGGTAGCTTTCTTTAGATGAATCCGAAACCTCAAATTATATCATAACATCATCGCCCTGTGTCGGCGTCACTGTCTGCGTGGTGACCAGATGGCTGAGCAGCGGCTCCAAGTTCATGTCTCACCTCTACATCCCCTTCCCTGGTGGCTTCCACACAGGTCCTGCCTGAGGTTTCACTGGCTCTGCACAGTCCTAGGCCCCCACAGAACCAGTCAGCGGCCAGGGAGATGCTCGCTCGGTGTGGCCAAAGCTGGGTCACATACCCGCCTCCCTAGCCAGGGGTTGTGTCAGCTCCCTCCAGCTCACGTCTCTGGAAAGAAGGGAGAAAGTTGGCGCCTGGGACGTGCCAAGGCTGCTGTGGGACGTGTCGGAAACAAGCGATGCAGAGATAGAAGTGCAGGTGGCTACCAGGGCAAGCAGAGGTTTCTCAGCCTGTAAGAAAGTCCAGATGAGCCCGAGCCTTCAGGGGGAGTATTCAGGTGTAAACCAAGCAGCGGGTTCTGAACACTGGTGGAATGCTCTCACAATGCCCCTGCCGGCCTCTGGGCAGTGGTGATCATGAGGGGTGTGCCCAGAGCCAGGGTGTGTATGTGTGTGTGTGTGTGTGTGTGTGTGTGTGAGGTTGAAGCCCACCGTGTGATACCCAGATCTTTGTGAATGCAAGGGCCACTGTGACTGTGTCCCAGACTTGTGGAGGAAAGACACAGTGGTTAACATCTGCACTGTGCTGGGGCCGGTGCTGTGGCGCAGCGGGTTAACATCTGTACGGTGGGCGTGGATGGCAGCACAGCTGTGCCCCTCTGAGCTGAATGGAACAACTGGAAGCCTTCCTGGCTACAGCCCCCGCCCCTCATGTGGACGACAGCAGACGAACACGAGAGGTGGGGCTGCGTGTCTCCCCTCTGGAGACACGCAACCCATTCCGGAGAGGGATTTGGGAAGGGTTGATGAGGGAGAAGAAGGAGATCCTGGGGAGGACGTATGTTAATTAGACTCCGTGGGGTCACAAACTGCCCCCCCATAGAGTGATTTAGGCCAGCAGCACCATTTCCCTGGCCTGTGGCTCTAGCGTCTGTAGTCGGTGCGGTGGGTGCCCGGCTCGGCCAATCTGAGGCCACATTCAGCCAATGGCAGCTGGGCCCACCAGCCTGTGGTGTGAGCTTGACGTCAGGTGAGTGGGGGCCCTGGCTGGCCTCGGATGTCCCTGCAGTGACCCGACTAGGCCTGTTCCCGAGTGGTGGCAGGGTCTCGGGGATGGAGCAGGCAGTGACGCGGGAGGCCTGGGCTTGGCCGCAGTGAGGTGCAGGAGTGAGCCAGCTTCTGGGGGGGGGGGGCAGGGAAGGGGAGGAGATGCCACCTCCTGATGGCACTGTCGCCCCCGCTGCAAGTGCGGGGGGGGGGTAGGAGTGGGGGAGGGTGCCGTGTGCCATAGTCTCAAAGGACCAGGCGGGGCACCATGAACTCCCAGTGTTCCATTCAGATGAGTCAGCAGGGGCCAGAGTGAAGGCCAAAATACGCATTTGTTAAAAAGTGGTTCAGGGCCACCCCACAATGCCACAGAGCTCCTGGGGCGTGCGGACAACCAGGCAGCTCAGGGCTGGGGTGAGGGTGCTGCGGGAGGCAGTAAGAGCTTATTCTTGATTCCTTTTTTTTTTTTTTTGCATTTCTCCCAGGGCAGGTCTCCTCCCTGAACTTGTACTTATCTGGAAATACCCGATTTCACCTTCATTCTTGAAAACTTGCTTTATAACAGACAACAGCAATCCTGATCACGCTTCTTCTCACAACCTCCCTGCGTCATCTCCGACCCCTGTGGTTTTTTTAATTTTTTTTCTTTTTTAGTGGAAATTGGCTTTGAATGTCATCAAGGGTCCCTTGCACGTAACGAGTCACTTCTCTCTAGCTGGTTTCCGAGTTCTTTCTTTGTCCCCGGCTTCGCTTAGCTCTGACGTGTAGGGGTGTGGGCCTTCCTTGGAGCTTGGAGTTGATGGTACCCCATGGACGGGCTTCCTCAGAGAGGGAAGATTTTTTTTAAAAGATTTATTTTATTTGAAAGTCACAGTTACACAGAGAGAGAAGAAGAGACAGAGGCAGAGGTAGAGAGAGAGAGAGAAAGAGAAAGAGAGAGAGATCTTCCATCCCCTGGTTCACTCCCCAGATGGCCGCAGCAGTCAGAGCTGAGCCAATCTGAAGCCAGGATCCAGGAGCTTCCTCCTGGTCTCTCACGTGGGTGCAGGGGCCCAAGCACTTGGGCCATCTTCTGCTTTCCCAGGCCATAGAGACAGCTGGATGGGAAGTGGAGCAGCCAGGACTAGAACCAGTGCCCATATGGGATGCCGGCGCTGCAGGTGGTGGCTTTACCCACTACTCCACAGTGCCGGCCCCCCATCATTTCTTCAAATGCTTCTTTGGTCTGTTTGTGCGTCTTCTCGTCTCTGACATCCCTAGGATGGGGACCCCGGTGGGTTTCCTAGTGGCCCACAGGCCGCAGTAGCTCTGTCCCCTTTTCTCATTCTGTCTTCTCTCTGCTGCTCGGCCTGGATCGTCTCAAGGTTGCAGGTCCTCCTCCCTCCTTCGCAAGTTGCCCTTGACCCCCCCCCCCCAGTGAGTTTCTCGCTTCTGCTGGGTTTGTCCGTGCAGGTGTCTCTGCTTGGCTTCTCACTGTGATTTCTCTCTCCTGCTGTTCTCATCTTGTCCAGGCATCATTTTCCTCGTTTCCTTTGGTCCTGTGCCTTTGGTTTCCTTTAGCTCATGGAGCGTATTGAACACAGTAGAGTGACCATCCTTGCCTGGTAATTCCCGCAGCTGAGCTTCCTCAGGGGTGACTTCTCGAAAACTCTCTTCTTCCTCCTCCTCCTCCTCCTCCTCTTCCTCTTCCCCTTCCTCCTCCTCCTCCTCCTCTTCCTCCCCCCTTCCCTCCTCCTCCTTCTTTAAAAGAGTTGTTTGTTCACTTTGAAGGTCAGAGTTATGGAGAGATAGCGAGAGGGGGCCACAGATGGTCCATCCTGTGGTTCACTCGCTGAGATGGTGGCAGCAGCCAGCAGTGGCCCAGCCAGAGCCAGGAGCTCCATCCCTGTCTCCCACATGCTGGCAGGGCCTACACGCTCAGGCCATCTTCCCTTGCTTTTCCCACTGCTTTCCCAGGCCTAGCCGGGAGCTGGATCAGAAGTGGAGCAGCTGGGACTCGAACTGACGCCCATACGGATACCAGCCCTGCTGGCCGCAGCTTAGCCTGCTATGCCACCGCAGTCTTTCAAAGATTATTATTATTATTTTATTAGTTATTATGATGAATAGGTTATCACATTAGCTTATTGACAGTAGAGGAGCTATTATTATTTCTGTGTGACAGCTATGAAAACTAAGACTTCAAAGAATTAACCACTCACCCAGGGTCACACACCAGCCACCCGCCCAAGGTCACATATTAGCCACTCACCCAAGGTCACGCATTAGTAAGTGATAAGTGAGAACCTGAAACCAAGGCCTCCTGGGAGCGCAGCCTGGACTGTTAACCCTTTGGGTGCCGGGACGGAGCCCCGAGTGGATGTGTTTGGGCCCTGGTCCCTGATGCTGGGCGGATGGGGTCTCCATCCCTCGTCCCGCGCCCGCATCGATCTCTCTCCTTCCTGCAGGCTGGTGGAGGAGGTGAAGGAGCTGTGTGATGGCCTGGAGCTCGAAAACGAGGATGTGTACATGGCGACCACCTTCGGGGACTTCATCCAACTGCTAGTGAGGAAGCTACGCGGGGAGGACGCCGAGGGCGAGTGCGTCATCGACTACGTGAGTCCCGCACGGCCTCCAGACCCCAGGCGCCCGTGTCTGTGGGTCCAGGGTGACACCGGGGGCTCAGGAAGCCGGCACCCTCTGGCTTCCCACGCCTGGCCAGCCTGGGGGCGCTGGGCAGGCGGTAAACCCAGCACAGGTGTAGCTGTCTAAGGCTCAGGTTTTTGGTCAAGTTCTGCATCCCAAGATGCGATGCCCAGATGGAAACAGGAGAGTTCCCGGTCAGGAGAGCAGATGACCTTGTGTGTCCACCGTTTACCCATGGACGTGCGTTGACTGACAGCAAGTTCTACTTTGGAAAGACCTTCTGGGAAAACCTCCCTGGGGTACCTGGGCAGGCTCGCACCTGCTTAGGAATGGACCTAGGCTGGCTTGTTTGGCTGGTGGTTTGGAACAAGGGCTCGTAAGTGGTGGCCAGGGTGGACCCCAGGCTGGCCTTGGGGTTGTGGATGGCTGACCTGTGGGTGGACTTCAGGAGTCGGGAGGGTGTCCCAGAGGCTCCTGCCTTCGCCATGGAATTCGGATCGAGAGGAATTGGGTGGGTGGTGTGGCCTATCTGGTGGCTTCTGGGGGCCTCGCCATCCCCAGGCGCTTCCTGGGGGCTGAGGATCCCGCAGCCCAGCGTGGCCCGCTGTGTCAGCAGCGGAAGTCGCCCATGGCAGAGCTGGGATTCCCGCAGGCGTGGTCTCAGCCCTCCCCTCCTCCCGTCGTGCCCAGAAGCAGTTCCAGAAGGCCCTGGGGTGCAGCCCAGCTGCCCTGGCCTTGCACATGTGTGTCCATCTGTGTGTGTGTCCTCTGTCCCCCTGTGGCTGTGTGCTGGCCACCGATGCAGCTGCACCTTCCCTCCCAGGTGGAAAAGGCGGTGAACAAGCTGACTCTGCGAATGCCCCACCAGCTCTTCATCGGGGGGGCCTTTGTGGATGCCGAGGGCAGCAAGACCTACGACACCATCAACCCGACAGACGAGAGCGTGAGTGCGGGCCCCGCGCCACCTCCTACGCCACCTGCCATTCAGCTCCCGCTGCCCCGGCCTCTGGGGTCCTGGCCCCGGGCCTCTGCTTGAACAAGCATCATGGAGAAGAACACAGAAGGGGGAGGGGAGCTGGGGGAGGCAGCTCTTGAGCCTGCCTCGCCTGGGGCCAGAGGTTAAACTCCCCAGGAGAGGTGAGGCCCTTGGCCCTGTCCCTTCCATGAGAGTCTCTGTGCGGGCGCCACCTCTGGATCTTGTATTCCCGCCGCCATCCGGAAATTCTCTCTTGAATTGAGTCCTGTGCCTGTTGGCATCCGTGACCATGACGTCACCCTCCCACCCTCGTGGGCCAGCACGCCGACGGAGGTGCACGTGCATGTGTATCTGAAAGTGGGCACCGTGGCTGAGACTGACTCTGGTGGGCGCCCACTGAGCCTGTGGTCCCACTCAGGCCCCTGCAGGAAATGGGTAGTGCCCTCCAAACAGGTCCTGGGAGGGCTCGCAAAGAAAGAGTGATTGAGAGAGGGGTGGGCACGATGTAGCGACATGGGACAGTGCCCTCAGGACTGGGACGTCCATGGCAGCCTGGCATGGACAGGGCTGCAGCAGGCCCTGGGGCCTTGGGAGGGCACAGCTATGGAGGTGCCTCCTCCTCCCATCCCCAGACCTGTTGGGCCACATGTAGCACCCCAGGGTCAAGGGCGTGGTCAGGGCAGGAATGGGGTGGAGAACCAAGTGTGGATCCGAGATGGCATGGGCTGTCACCCCCATCTATCTCCCTTCAGAAAGGACTGCGGGCTGTACTCACTTGGTCACTGGGTCTCCTCCCCCGTTCACTCCCCAGCCCCGTCTCTGGGTCTCCTCCCCAGCCCGCTCCGCAGCCCCATAGCTGCAGCCTGAGTCTGCAGGGAGTGTGTAGAGATGGCTGCTGGCAGCAGAGACGCAACCAGACTTTCCCAAGCCCCTCTTCCCTTCACGCACGAACCATCACATGTCCCTGTAGACCGGGCGTCCCCTCCGGGGCTGCCCATGCGGCCGGCAGTCAGCGTGGGGTGGGAGTCCTGTCTGCGTGGAGCCCCGTGAACGTGGAAAGGGAGCGATCCGTGAGTGTGGGGCCGAGGGTGGGCACTCACGGCTCCACCTCTGCCGCAGGTCATCTGCCAGGTGTCCCTGGCCCAGGCCAGCGATGTTGACAAGGCCGTAGCTGCAGCGAAGGATGCCTTTGAAAACGGGCTATGGGGGAAGATCAGTGCTCGGGACCGGGGCCGGCTCCTGTACAGGTGAGAGCCCAGCCCCCACCTGTCAGCTAGCGCCGGCTTCAGCAGGGGGCGGGGCAGATGCTCTGGCCAAGGCCTCTTTTCCTGGGGGCCCTCCTGGGAGGGGCGGCCCCTGGGGAGGTCACGGGGGGGAAGCCCAAAATTAAGAGGGGGGGGGGGGGGGGTCCCAGCCCGAGGCTCAGAAAGGGCTTCTTCGAGGAAGGGGCTGGAGAAGCACAAGGCTTCAGCCAGCAGACAGGGTGGCTTCTGGGACAATTGTGCCAGTGGAGGTGAGGTGCAGGGGTGAGGCTGTGCTTTGTGGGCTGCAGGGGTAGAGGCTCTGGGGCTGGGGAAGTCCAGGACCAGGGCCGTCAGGTGCACTCAGCCTGCCATGCCTTCCAGACCCCTTGGAGGGCCCGTTGGTTCCAGGAAGGTATTGGCTGGTGACAGGCTCTAGAACTCCAGGAGACCAGGCTGTAAATCTCAATGCCCACGACCCTCCGCTGAGCCGGTGGAGTGGATGCGCCAAGGGTACCTGCGCTGGCCCCTCGTACCTCCTCTGATGGGAAGAGCCTGGTTTCCTGAGACACTCTGCTGCCATCTGGTGGCTGAGGTTGTCATAACGCCTGCTGACCCCTGGCGAAAATGAGGCCCAGGCTGCAGGCTCTGAGACGACTCCCTGATGGTGGACAGAGGTCTCCAGAGCCAGGGAGCTTCCTGGTGGCCAGGTCCCTGCCCTGGGCAAACTCCCCGCCCCTTCAGAGGAGGCTTGCCTGCTCCTGGCTCTGCCACAGCTGGGCAGAGATGCCTGGGGAACAGGGTGGGGCCAAAGGCTGCAGGGCTCCCATGATTCCGTGAGGAGCGTGGCCCTGTGGGTGCCGGGGGACACAGAATACATCTCAGGAGTAGAACAGAGCAGCGCTGGGGAGCAGCCGGGGAGGACGACTCAGAAGGGAGAATCGGGCCGGCGCTGCGGCTCACTAGGCTAATCCTCCGCCTGCGGCGCTGGCACACCAGGTTCTAGTCCAGTCCAGCTCTCTGCTGTGGCCCAGGAGTGCAGTGGAGGATGGCCCAAGTGCTTGGGCCCTGCACCCCATAGGAGACCAGGAGAAGCACCTGGCTCCTGCCTTCGGATCAGCGCGGTGTGCCGGCCGCGGCGGCCATTGGAGGGTGAACCAACAGCAAAAGGAAGACCTTTCTCTCTGTCTCTCTCACTCTCACTGTCCACTCTGCCTGTAAAAAAAAAAAAATGGTGCTGACATTTAAGGCTGCCAGCTAACCCGGCGGGCAATGGCACAGCCCCACTCGGCAGCCTCCTGGCTGCCTGCGTAGTGTCCCTTGCAAAGCGCGTCCTGGGAATTGGACTGATGACCCGGGCACGTCGCACGCCACGCAGGGGACACTGCCTACGAGCATCGGGCCTGTGTAGAAGAAAAGATAAGAAGGTACTTCAGAAGCTCCTGGGAAATGGATTTATTTAAGATTCTTATTTATCTGAAAGGCAGTTACAGCAAGAGAAGGAGGGAGAAAGAGGGAGAGAAATGTTTCTTTTGGTACAAAAAAGGGTGAAATCTGTGGACAGTTTGCCATGCCACGCGTTTTCTGTGACGTTTTTGAAGTCCCCATGTGTGCACAGGAGCCTCAGCACGCAGGAAGCCAGATGGGGCATCTCAGGACAGGGTCATGGGGCGGGGGCGTGGGGGGTTCTCGCCATGGAAGGCGGGGCTTCCCAAACACCCTGTCTCAGTTTCCCTGCTCACAGCACAGCGGGGCACCTGCACCTCTGTGGACCCCCACAGGCAGTGACAGCGGCAAGGCCCCGCCCTCTTGTGGGCCACGGCCGTGCACGGGGTCCAGTGGGCACTCCAAGCTAGCTGGCCCCTGGCCATCACAGGTGTGCTTGCCTGGACCACTTGAAAGTAGCAGGACGTGTGGAAACTTGCGGGCTGCGGAGCTAAGGGGTCCCATTTACTCACAGGGAGTGGGCTCACCTCTCCTTGCTCCTGCTGGAACCCCAAGCCCGCCGATACCCCTGGCGGGAGCCCCCAGTGCTAGAGTTTCAGGTTGCTCAGTCAGCAACACACACGTTCGATCTCCTTACCCAGGCAGCAGTGGCAGCACAAGCCTGGCTCTTCCACCCGTGTGTCCGCTCCCTGAGTCCATGGCTTCCTGAGCCCAGTGCTTCCCATGTGCCCAGGACACGCTGGCTGCTGGGAACGCCTTGGGGAGCAGGAAGCCAGAGCCTCCCTCGCCCTGGGGGGAGCTTGCATTGCAGTGGGAGAGGCAAAGTATGAGGCCCTCACCCGACTGCTACATGGTGGGGGAGGGGCAGGGAGGCCGCAGATGCTCTCAGAGTCCCGGTGATCACGTGGTCAGGAGGAGGGGCCAGCTCCCACAGCTCCCACACAGGCCTGCCCTACCGGGGTCCCTGGGTCAGAGCCATGGCGGGGGGGCAGGGGGTGGAGGCCCAGGGGCCCAGGAGGAAGGTGGAGAAGGACCAGCGCTGGTAAGCCCAGCCTAGCATCCCAGCATCTTCCTAAGTGCCATGCATAGTGGTCTGGGGTCCTGGAGGGCGTAGGTGGGTTCAGACAGCAGCAGGGCTGGGGGCCCATGTGCAGAACAGAGCAGGGTGGGGACCGGGACGGGGGAGGGCCTGACTCTGCCCCTGCACCTGCTCTGGGCCCCATTGTGCCCAATTGTGGAAGCTGCTCATGGCTTTGGCTCCGTGGTCCCCACCTTCCCCATCCCCACACCCCCTTAGGGTGTGAGACCCCCAAATCAGTCAGGGGCTCCGGGATAACTCACACGCCACCCCCAGCAGCACAGCCTAGCGGTTAAGATGCCCGCGATCCACATCGGAGTGCTTTAGTTTCAGTCCCAGCTCAGACACCTGACTCCAGGCTCCTGCTGATACAAACCCAGGGAGGCAGTGGCTGGGTTAGAGGAATGGGGCAAGAACCTACAACCCAGAGTGAAGTGCCTCATCTCACCACCAGAGGGCGCCAGCGTAGAAAGAGTGGCACCCATACAAGGGGTCTGAATTGTGCTCCTGGCTCATGGCTTTGGCCCTAGTTGGGTCCTGGCCATTGCAGGTTTTTGGGGAGTGGACCAGTGGATAGGAGCTCGCTCGCTCGCTCACTCACTCGCTCACTCTTTCTGCCTCTGAAATAAAAATTTTTTTAAAAAAATTTGAAACCAAAGCACGGGAGGGGGTGGACACTGGGGGCCACCTCTCCTCCTCTGGAGACACCAGCCGTGGGGATGTCCCCTGCCCCCCGACTGAGCTGTTGGCTTGGTGGGCACCTAGGAGACAGGGGTGCGTTGCCCTGATTGAAGGAAGTGGCCTCCCGGGCCTGTGATCGCTTTGCTACCTGTAGCACGTGGGTGCCCCCCTCCCAGGACAATCTCTGAGTGACCTGGTGAAATAATTGGCCCCCAGAAGAGAGAGGGCAGGAGGGAGGGACAGCAGGCGGCGTCCTCACGCCCAGCCAGAGACGCGGCCGTCACCGTCCCCTCTCACAGCCAAGGGCGCGCTGTACGATGAGTGGGTAAGCCCTGGGAGCACCCAGCTCCTTGCACCAGGGTCTGCTCGAGCCCCGCCCCCCCCGCCTCTCCCCTGCCCCGTGTCCAGGTTGGCTGACCTCATGGAGCAGCACCAGGAGGAGCTGGCCACCATCGAGGCCCTGGACGCCGGCGCCGTCTACACGCTGGCCCTGAAGACACATGTGGGCATGTCCATCCAGACCTTCCGCTACTTTGCGGGCTGGTGCGACAAGATCCAGGTGGGGCTCTGGCCTGCAGGCGGCATGGCCGACGACGGCCACGGGGTGCCGTGAAGCCGCCCCTGTTCCTTAGCTGGTGGCCCCGTGGTGGTGGCGGGGTGGGGGGTGCCTGCCTGGCTTCTACGCTGGGGCTTCACAAGGCTGGGGTGAGGGGCTCAGCCAGGCCGGGCTCCATGCTGGTCCACGCCGAGCCCTCCATCTCCCAGCTGCAGCAGCGCTGGCCTCGAGTCTGCTTTTCTGGGGGGGCTCCCGTGGCTGCTGTCAGCGCACACACGTCATCCCCCTCCCCCCATGTCAACTGGGACACAGAACGTCACGGCAGGAAGGAGCACTCAGCGTGTTCCCTGGCCTCCGGCTGTCTGCCGTGACCTCCCACCTGCTCTTGTGGGGGGGGGGGGGGAGGTGGGGATCAGGATGCAGACCAGACCCTGTTCCTTCAGAGCCCCCCCCAAGTGGCCTCCCCCTGTGCTTCTTCCAGGGCTCCACCATCCCCATCAACCATGCCAGACCCAACCGCAACTTGACCTTGACCAGGAAGGAGCCTGTCGGGTGAGTCCCTGCCCAGGGCACGGGGCTGGGTGACCCACGTGGCGCCTGAGGGGCCCACAGTCTCCTCCCAGCACATGTCTGTCATCCAGCTGCTCCAGTCACTCCCACAGTGCCCGCTCCATGCCGGGTACTGCTGTGACAGCTTGAGAATTATTTAAGTAAGCCCCACGGTCGCCACAATCACCCTCTGTCAGTCGGGGTCGTGGTGGGAAGCAGAGGGTACCCTGGCACGTCTTATCTGAAAAGAGGATCGTAATAAGTGTGCATAAAATTGAAGAAATTCTTTTTAAAAAAAATTGAAACAGGCAAAGACAGGAAGAACAGCTCAGCGGGAGAAGCACAGGTGCAGCCCAGACAGGCCTGGGTGTGAGGAATGGGGCAAAGAACCCACAACCCAGCGTGCAGAGCCTTGTCTCACCACCAGAGGGCGCCAGCACAGAAGGAGTGGGAAGGGCTGGGCTGGGTCGTTGGGCAGCAGCAGGTCCACCCTGGAGCCTTGTGTCCAGCCACGAGCAGGGCAGCCTAGCGTGCAGGAGGGGAGCAGGAGGTGCGGGCTGCAGACGCCACAGGGCAGTGCGGTGGGTGGAAGCCATGAGGTCACTAACAGCAGAACAGGCAGCGAAGCCAACCAAAGGCAGGCACCTGCAGTTGCTGGGCGGGGGTGTGTCCAGCAGACACCACCCCCGCTCACTCTGACACTATGCAGGGCCAGTCCCCACACCCTCCATCCCCACGACTGGACAGGTGCAGGTGTGTGCCCCGGCTGCCCTAACAACGGAGCCCAGCCCCGGGCTTAAAGGACAAGCTCTGGATGCTGACGTCTGATGTCGTGGTGCCAGCAGGGCCGGTTCCCACTCCCCCAGGCCCTGGCAGAGGGGAAGGTCTGTCCCAGGCCCCTCTCCCAGCCCTGGCCTTCCTGGCACGCGGCGGCGTCACCCCAGTCTCTGCCATGGTGCCCCAAGTCGCTCTCCTGTTGGTAAAGACAGCAGCCCCATTGGTTGAGGGGCCTGCCTACTCCACGGTGACCTCATGTTAATGAGTGACATCTGCAGGGATTCGGCTAGGACTTGAGCGTCTGAGCCTGAGGGGACACCACGCAGTCCCTAGGGAGCAGACTCTGCGCTCCCCACCAGCTGCCCTCAGCCTCACCCCATTTCCCTGCAAATACTCAGTGGCTGCGGGCTCTGCCCCCTGCTACCCATCCAGCTGCTCCGGGCCTCCCAGGTGTCTGCACAGGGCCAGCAGCTCTCCTAACCCCCTCGGAGCACCCTGTTACTCCCAGGGCCTCAGCCGGGCTCCCAGGCCAGCCCTGTACCCTGCAGGGATGCCTGCAGCTCTCAGCCAGCCCCACGCCCCTGGAGACCCCTCCCACGGCCATCCTACCCGCTGGCCTTTGCACACGTGCTTCCCACTGCCTGGGTCCGGCTGAGACGCCCACTTGTACAGGAATGCTCTCTGATGGTGTTGCTGGTGCTGATGATGCTGATGCCACAGTCCGAGCAGGGCTCACGTGGCGCTGAGGGGCTGGGATGGCCCCCACTCTGCAGACGTCGGGGAGGGCGAGGCCACACAGGATGAGACCAGGCTCGGGACGCTCTGAGCATGAGACACACGAGCCCGGCCGGAGGCGCTCTGGGCCCAAGGGTGGCACGAGCCCCGGGCAGCCTCACTTGCCCTTGCTGACCCTGTCCTCTCCTCTCCCAGTCCTGACCTCAGCAGGACTCTCCTGGCCTGCCCTGGGACCCCCGGCCCTCTCCACACCCTGCTGGCCCCTGTTCTCACCTGTCCCTGCCCGCTGCTGCCCTCTGCCGGTGTTGCCCGGCCCCTGGGTGTTCCACCAGAACCTGTCCAGTTAGGAAGAGGGCTACCGCCTGGCCAGTGCCCTGTGTAGCATCCAGGATGGGAAAGGCAGGGGGCACGGCCTCTGGGGGGCGCCCTGAGCTCCTTCTTGCGGGGCCTAGGAGAGGAGGGAGGGGCCGGCAGCTCCACTGCAGGCCCAGGGCCCAGAGGAGGGACGAAGCAGCTTCCTTCCCACGGCAGGGTCTGTGGCATCGTCATCCCCTGGAACTACCCCCTGATGATGCTGTCCTGGAAGACGGCCGCCTGCCTGGCTGCTGGCAACACCGTGGTGATCAAGCCCGCCCAGGTGCGTGGGGGTGCCCTGCACAGGGCCTGCAGGCCTGCTCTGTGAGGGAGGCGGCACAGGGACCCCGGCCCGGCCAGTGTTGGCAGAAAGGTGCTGTGGCTGTGGGCCGGCCTTTGCGGGCTGCTTCCTGTGGGTAGGGGTGCAGGAGCATGCCGGGAGCTGTCCCACGCCGACTCTGCATTTTTCTGCTCTCGGGTGGTGGAGACGGATTGGTCAGTGAGCAGTGGCAGGGGTTGGGACACCCGTGTCTACACTGTGGTTTCACACAGCAGAACCCTGCCTGGTTTCCCTTGTCCGGGCTCTCAGGCAGCCCCAGAAGCCTGTTAATATAGCTGGTGCCAGGTCTTGGACCTGCCGGGCTGCAGACACTAGGAGTCTTGTTAAGGAAGCAAGGCGAGTGGTGGGGTTTGTGGAACCCCTGAGCCCGTCACCCAGAAGCTTCCAGATTGGCGGTGGAGGCAGGACATTAGCCAGCACCCAGGCAGCAGGGAAGGTATTCTTGGGGCTGGAGGCAGCACCCCCACCTGTCGCCACCAGGAAGCTCTGTTTCTTTATCTGGGCCTTGGCAATAAGGGGCCCTCTGCCGGAGGCCAGAAGAAGTCCCAGAGCGTGGACACGTGTCCAGGGGGCCTCTCAGGTCTCAGCTTCCTTTACCCCAAGAGCACTGATGCTATTTAAAAGAGAGAAATCCCAATGGCCGTAGCCAACATTTACAGCATCCGTCCTGTTTCCACCAAGCACTGAACAGAGGATCAGGTAACGTATGTGAGTGTGCTTCTTTGAGCCTCCTAACTGCTCTCCGAGGAGTACTTGGCCCCCTGCTTCTGCCTGGGGGCTGCTGACAGCTCAAGGGGGCCGCCCCTGGTGCGGCCACCCTCACTCGTCCTGTCCCAGCGCCTCCCAACCCAGCCCCCACGGATTCGGCCACTCTGCCCTTGGTGGGTGGGGCACAGCCCAAGCACTGATTGTTGGGGTCTCTGGAGTCACACCCAGGTGCAGGGAGAGCCAGGTCTGCTGGTGCTGGGGGTGCACCCAGAATCTCAGCAAGCAGCACCCACCTCCCTGGAAGGCCCCTTCTCCACGCCAGCACTGGCAGTTCTCGGGGCAGGGAGGGGGCGTGCCTGGGATGTGCCGGCTGGAGGCCCGGCCTGGTGCACTTGCCCGACTGCTCCTGGAGACCTTGGCCTGATGAAGGGGAACCGAACGCCATTCAGGAAAGGGCCCAGGCCAGGCTGAGGGGCTGGAGCCCTGCCCACAGGAGAGATGAGGACCCCCGGGTAGGGGGAGGGCTGGCCTTGATCCCCACCGGAGCTGCAGCGGGAGCGGGCAGCTCTCTACACTGACCCCAAAGCTACAACCTCTCCCTGCCAGGGAGGGGCGGCTGGCGGAGGAGGGCTGGGCGGGACAGCGGAACCCCTCTTCTGAACCCGCCTCCCTGGCCTTCTTTCCCGCCCACTCAGGTGACCCCACTCACAGCCCTGAAGTTCGCAGAGCTCACGCTGAGGGCGGGCATCCCCAAGGGCGTGGTCAACGTCCTCCCGGGATCTGGTGAGAGCCGTGCGTGGGAACGGGGCTCGGTGCACAGTCCGGGGCAGAGCGGGCTGCTCCCACGGCGGGGCGGGGCATCACCCTGCCCGGGCAGGGGTCTTGCCTTCAGAGCCTCTCCCAGGAGAAAGGATTTGCATTTTTTTTGAGTGTGTGCAAATATGCACTCCGAATAAATGACTTTTCTTGGGCATCGCCTGCCCTTGGAAGTTTGAGAGAATTTCCTCCTAGAACATTCTAGGCTTGGAGCGTGTGGGGGGGGTAGTGAGGTGGGCCCCCCACGGCGTGACTGCTGCCTCTGAGGCTTCCGTCGCCGCAGGTGGAAGAATATTTGGAAAAAAAGGAGGACTGGGACAGAAGGCGTAGATTCTCTCTGTCCTCGTCATTGTTCCCCAGATAATCGGGCACACACACTTGCGCTGCCCCCCGGGGGCGGGGCCAGGGGCGGGGCCCCAGGATGCAGGGCGGGGAGGCGGCCCCGGGACTCCTGGGTGGTGGCTGGAACACTGGGGCCCCAGGCAGAGCTGGCAGGCAGCAGGTCTGGCGACAGTTGGAGAGCTCGGCATGTCGAATCTGAGAAGGCCTGAGATGTCCCCGAGCGAGCAAGCAGGAGCTGAGTCGGCAGAGGCGGGGTGGGGGTGGGGGAGGGTAAATGCGTGTGGATTCCAAGGCGCCTGCTGCAGATTCGGATTTAGGGCTGACGTGTCTGCCCGTGGCATGCGAGGGCCTGGCCGAGGTCAGCGGAAGAGGCTGTGTGAACCGAGAAGGTGGAGAAGGCTCAGGACACGGCCAGGGCTCTGGGCGAGCAGAGACCCCCTCAGGGGGCGGGGGGGGGCACGCTGGGCAGAGCCTCCAGGGGGCTGCTTGCCCCGGGTCAGAGGGGGCAGCGGAGTCAGGGAAACCTCCCCGAGGGCCCTTTGGATGGAGACCGACGGATGCCGAGGGATCGGCCAGGCTGGGGCAGGGTGTGTGCAGGCCCCGGCTGTGGGACCCGCCCTGGCAGCAGGAGCAGCTCGGGCAGGGCTCTCCGTGCCGGGGCACCCTGAGAGCGGGCATTTGGAACTCCAATGCCCAGGATGCCATAACCCCCTGGGGCCAGGCCAGGCATCCTCAGCACCCTCCCAGAGCCCCCCGCCTGGAGGGCTGAACGGCTGCACACCGTTGTTCCAGGGAACGGTGCCTACCTGGAGATAGGTGGGAAGCCTCACTGGGAGTGTCCAGGTTCCCTGGGCCACCAGTACAGAGAGCCGTAGACTGGGAGGCTCACCCCGTCTCCTGCCTCCAGGGGCCTCTCTCCTTGCCCTGCAGGCGGCCCCCTGCTCGCTGCGGCTCACCCATATCCCCCTGTGCGTGTTGGTGTGCTGTCCCCTTCTCAGAAGGACACCTCTCAGACTGCCCCCAATGACTTCAGTTTAACTCGATTATCTCTGCAAAGTTGTCCAGGGCCGTTGCATCTGTTGTACTGGGGTTAGGATTCCAACGTGTGAAGCTTGGGGAGTCCCAATTCAGTCTATGACACGCGGCGAGGCCTGGGGAGGCCTGGGGAGCCCCGGGCACTGGGGGCGCCGAGCCCGCCTGTGAATGGGAGAGGGAGGGAGGTGGCTTCCCAGCACCGCCGAGGCTGCCCTCACCAACTTGCCCTCCTGCACCCGCAGGCTCGCTGGTCGGCCAGAGGCTCGCGGACCACCCCGACGTGAGGAAAATTGGGTTCACGGGCTCCACGGAGGTGGGGAAGCACATCATGAAGAGGTCAGTGGCTGCGAGGGGCGGGGACGCGAGGCCGCCGGCCACAGTCCAGGTCCTGTGCCTCCAGCTGCCCTGGGTCCAGCCATTGCCAGGGCCTGTGTTGCGCAGGCGCTGGTTCACTGGGGCCAGCCCTATGACCGGCTCCCAGGAGGCCTGCAAGGCCGCTCTGCAGAGCCCACTGACGCCAGTGAGGTCCTGGCCCCAGGCTGCCCGCTCCAGGGTCAGCAGCCCCATGGCTGCCGAGTGCGTGAAATGAAGCTGATTTGAATTGATGGTGTGCAGCACACGCTGGTTGCAAAATCTTAGCACACGCAAAAACGTAACATGCCTCATTGATTGGTTTGTGTGTTGCTGGCAAGTTTAAGTGATAATTTAAAACAAGGCTGATTTATTTGAAAGGAGCAATGACAGAGAGAGAGCGATAGAGAGAAATCTTCCATCTACTGGCATTCTCCCCAAATGGTTGCACTGGCCGAGGCTGGGCCAGGCCGAAGCCAGGAGTCAGGAACTCCGTCCAGGTCTCCCCCGTGGGTGGCAGGGGCCCAAGCTTCTGCAGGGTCGTCTTCTGCTGCCTCCCCACGTGCGTCCGCAAAAAGGTGAATTGGAAGCAGAGCGGCTGGGACTCGAACCAGCGCTCCGATATGGGCTGCTGGCTTCACAGCAGGGGCTTCTCCCGCTGCACCGCAATGCTGGCCTCGATGTTCTCGATTAGTGAGGCGAAAACATTCTCTTTCAGTCCATCTTCTGTATCTGCGGGCTCTGCAAGCAGGGCGTCACCCAAGTATGGGTCAAAAATATTTTGGAAAATTGTGTCTGTGCTGACATGTGCAGTCCCTTTCCTCGTGCTTGGTCCCTAGACAGTGCACTGGTTCTTGAGCAAGTTTGGGGGGAAAATGTGTGGTATTTAAAAAACTCGGGTATTGCAAACATTTCTGTACCAAAGGCAATTTATCTTTTAATTCCATTTTCCCACAGACTTGTTGAAGTGCCCTGCACAGTGTAACAGTGTTTTCCTGGCATGTGTATTGTATTAGGTATATAAGTCGTCTAGAGATGGTTGGAGTGAACAAAATGCATGTTACCTGCAAATCCCGTCAGGGACCTGAGATCCTTGCAGCCCCTAGAACCCAGTCCCGGTAGACGCCGGGCGGTCAGTTTCAGGATCAATTCCCTCACTGCTTGTCAGTCCTCTTTCAAGGTGGCTCCCACCAGAAAGTGTCCATTGCTTACTTGCTGGGATCTGAGGCTTTCCTTCTATTTCCATGGACGGAATGATCTAGAAGACCTCTCACTGCTCAGTCCCTGGACATCAGCCTCAAGCGTGCAGGGGCACCATTCCTGGCTGTGTCACTGGTTCACCTATGCCCTGGTCCAAGGCCAGGCCTCAGTGAACCCGCATGCCCAGTTCCATGGAAGCCCTTGGACAGGCTCAGAGGTTCTGTTCTGTGTTGCCAGCAGGTTGGCAGAGGTGGGTGGGGCCAGAACCCCAGGGTGGCAGCTGTAGCTGCCTGCATCCGCACTGGGCAGCACTGCTGGGGCTGCTTTTGGCATCAGCACTTCCGCGAGGCAGGTGCACACCAGAGAGCTGGAGCTCAGGCAAGCCCACCGACCTCAGGCTCCCTGGCGCCTTCCTCTAGGACATGTGGCCCGCATCTCTGCCCCTGCTCAGGGGTCACCCCCAGGGCGGCCCAGCTACCGCCTGACAATGCAGTGGGAAGAAGGGTTGCTTTTGCCTTAAAGCAGTATCTCCCGGCAGCTCCCGACTCAGCACGGAGCTCCTTGTCCCCGGGACTCTCCTGCGGCCATGACCCCACACCCCACAGACCTCTTTCTGCCTTGCAAGGTGGAGGTCCCAGCCCCAGCTCCACCAGCGCTCTCTGTCAGCTGCCAGAGTGCAGCCTGCATTGCTCCTGTTCTTGAATGGGCACCGCACTTGTGCTGACCACGGGGGTCTCACCTGACCCCTCCCCCCGCCCCCCTCCCCCACCCTCCTGCTGCCTTGCGTCAGCAGCCCCTGGTAACGTGGCTGATGGACTGCACCATTCAGCTGGGGACAGGCAGCCATCAGGGCAAGTCCAGGGGATTTTCAAATTTCTTGGAATTTGCAAGGCGAAATCCTTCGTGCCGGTTGAGGAGGCTTAATGTACGAACGAAAGGTTTGGGGAAGACCTGCTGAGGACAAGTGGCCATGAACTGCCTTGTAACGGCTCTGGACCCAGAAGTTGCCGGGCCTCTTCCCATGGGTGTGGAAGGTGGTGGCAACTCCTAGGGTCAACTGTTGCCGGTCTGGAAGGAAGGCCTCAGGACAGCGGGTCTTCGTCTGGCTCCAGGCCCTCCAGGCCATCCATGGCTCCCTGGGCCTTCCAGGGACCCTGGGTGGGTCCGCTGGTGGTGG